TAAGGAAAAGCCACCTGAGGAGGTTGACTTGACTTGACGAACCACGAGGCCTCCGTTTGCCCAAGGTTTTTGGTATCCGGGAGGAGGGGGGGGGGGATCCGCGAGTGCCCAATGGAGGTCACGGGGTCCGCGTCCTTTGAGGGGGCGCGTCGCGCGTCCCGTGGCCCGTGGAGTAGGTCTATGGGTCCTCGCGTGGAACAGCGCGGTAGACCACAGGTCCACGGGTTCCACGCGAACGCAAGGGGAAGCACGCAGGGTCGCGAAGGAGTGTATCGTGGCGACGCGGGCTGCGACTGGGAACCTCCCTCGCACCATCGCGCGTATCCTACGCCCTAGTGACACGGCGGGTTGGGCTGCACTTTGGATCCACTTGGGGGCGTGGGTCGTACTTACTCGCGCCTTACTGCAGCTCTTATCTCCGGTGCCAGGTGTAAGCACACAGGGCGCATGCCTTCCCGTCGCCGGGCCGGACTCTAGGCGTTGACCCGACGGCCCGACGGCGGGGTGTGCGCCGCACTATGTGCGGGCGCGTTCCATCCGCTTCCGGCTGCTGGGACAACAAAAACGTGGGGCGAGTGACGGCGCGGGTAAAATTAGCTCTTACGCATCCGGACTCGGTTCTGCCAGGCCTTACCACCACCAGGGTTCTCCCATAACCTACCCCACGCACCCTCACTCCGCCCCCTCCCCGCCACACAGTACTTGCGCGGGGCATTCGGATCAGTTTGGGTCCATATCTTAATTGTCTCAGCAACTTATCCCGAGAAGATTGTGTGTCCCTTCCTGTGGCTCCCCCAACCATTTGAACGACGGACAACATCTACTAGATAATAAATATTTGCCAAGTACTTTAGAAACACGGTCGCCGACAAGGAAAATAAGTTACACAGCGGGGGGAAGCGGGTGCGAGGGGACGTGGTGTGGTGGAGGGGAGGACCGACTTTTAGAGTCTATGCCATCCTCAGAGGCACACCCCGCGTCATTGTTTCTGGGGGAGGCCTTCAGGGCCTTCATCGCGTTCATTCTCGACCGCCAGTCTCGCCCGTTCATTGGCGCAGATCAGGGACCGACGGGTTGGTATTGTAGTAGTATGTGCTTACAGGGAGACGCTCTGTCTAACTAATCTAGTCTTATTACGCTAATCACCTGTCGTGTGAGTAGGTCCCTATTTTGCAGCCCCTCTCCGTTCATACAGGGTGGTCCACAGACCCCGTCCTTTATTTTGCTTATACTGTACCGCATGCGGGCGTGCGGGCGGGCTTGCCTACCGTCGCTCACCGCGGCGCCTTATGGCCCCGTGCGAGTATGCAACCCACCCGCACGCCTGCATCCGGTACAGTATAAGCAAAATAAAGGAAGGGGTCTGTGGACCACCCGGTATTTCCTTGCTCAGCTTCCTTTGTCTCTCACGCCACAGAGTGACGTGCTTGACCTCGCATTTCCTCATGTGTGGAATGTCCTTTTGTTTTGCTTACACTACCGCACGAAGGCGTGCTGGCGGGCTTACCTCCCGTGGCCCACCACACCACGGCGCCTTCTGGCCCCGTGTAAGTATGCAACCCGTCCGCACGCGTGCATGCGGTACAGTATGAGCAAACGAGCACCACCCTGTATGGTGTGGTGCACCGTCGCGTCGGCATCGGAATCGGACGGCAGGCCCATCCAACGCATTGTCGACTGGAAAGCGTGCGGGCAAAAAAGGGCACAGCGAACGAGAATAAAGAGAGACAGGCGAGAAGACCTCATTGAGAGGACAATGACACGCGTGTTGGCTCAGCCGGCGCCTGCGCGCGCAGGTGGTGGAGGTGCGAAGTGTCCGCGTGCAACATGCGCCTGGCGCTGCTTGGTGGTGGGGCCTGGTGGGACTGGGTGGGACCTGGTGGGACTTCCCCCCGGCAGAGCCCCACCCAACAATGTCCCGGCGGCCCGCACAACACAACATGTGCCCGGGCAAAACAATTGCAGAGGGGTTATCTTTTCACCATTTCGCGAGTCCGGCTGAAGTTTTGCTCATCGGGGTGCCTTTCGCTCTCCTCTTTTTTCCCCGCGCGCTGGGGTCGCCACGGGTCTGCTGTGCCATGCCTCCCCCCCCCCACCTTCCGCTCTCCCGCCACGCCCGTCGCGATTGCCGAGCACTGTACGTTGTGATATCAACTCTGTGCACGCCTTGTTGAACTACCTCAACGTGGCTCCTCGACTCA